CTTGAGCCCAGGAGTTGGAGGTTGCTGTGAGCGTGATGCCATGGCACTCTACCCAGGGGGCTAGCTTGAGGCTCCATCTCAAAAAAAAAAAAAAAAAGGTGGCCAATCAGGGAGGTTATACTGTAGTTTGAACAAAAGGATTCCATTACACACTAACAGTTTAAGCGTAGGTGGCAGCCCGGTGCAGTGGCTCTCCCCTATAATCCTAGCACTCTGGGAGGCCTAGGTAGGGGTGGACTGTTTGAGCTCAAAAGTTCGAGACCAGCCTGAGCAAGAGCAAGACTCCATTTCTACTAATAATAGAAAAACTAGCTGGGCATTGTGGCAGGCACCAGTAGCCCCAGCTACTTAAGAGGCTGAGGCAAAAGGATTGCTCAAACCTAGGAGTTTGAGGTTGCTGTGACCTATGATGCTACAGGGCAACAGAGTGAGATTCTGTTTCAAAAAAAAGAGGAGGAGGTGGTTATCTTTGGGTGGTGTAATTACATATAATTTTGAGGTTCTTTTCAACTGATTTTTACGTTATTCCACATTTTCCAAATGTCTTGTGAAATGAAGTATTACTTTTTTTTTTTGCAGTTTTTTTTTGGCTGGGGATGGGTTTGAACCCACCACCTCCAGCATATGGGGCCGGCACCCCACTCCTTTGAGCCACAGGCACCACTCCAAGTATTACTTTTAAGATGAAAAAAAAATTTTTCATGTTGCCAGTCTTCATGCTTAGCTTTTAATTGCTACACAATAACCTATAGTGCTGATAAATTTTCACTCTCATTGAAAAGGTAATATAGAAATCATACACACATCTTACACACACATACACACTTATAACATCTAGTTATAAGTCTAGATGGGACTCATAGTTTTTTTTCTCTGCATTTACATAAATACATGGATACCTTCATACATATGCTTATTTTTCAAAAACACACTTTAGATCACCACATTTGTACCCTGTTCAGCAACCTGCATTGTTTGATTTTTGAACTCAATTTCCATATTTCACAATAGTCTTGTCAATCTTCCAATATAGCTCACATAAAGCTACCTCAGTCTAGCATAATAATCTAAATTATGGTAGTCTGGGAAACATAGCAAGATTCCATCTCTTAAAAAAAAAAAAAAAAAAATTAGCAGGCATACACCTGTAGTCCAGGCTGCGGCAGGAGGATTGCTTGAGTCCAGGAGTTGGAGGATACAGTGAGCTACAATTGTGCCACTGCACACGAGTGGAAAACAGAGTGAGATTCTGTCTGTGACTGGGCGCGGTGGCTCATGCCTGTAATCCTAACACTCTGGGAGGCTAAGGACTGCCTGAGCTGACAGGTTAGAGACCAGCCTGAGACAGATTGAGACCTTGTCTCTAAAAATAGCCAGGTGTTGTGGCAGGCACCTGTAGTCCCAGCTGCTCCAGAAGTTGAGGCAAGAGAATCTTGAGCCAAAGAGTTTGAGGTTGCTGTGAGCTATGACACCACAGAGCTCTACCTACCAAGGGTGACAAAGTGAGACTCTGTCTCTTAAAAAAAAAAACAACCAAAAACTAAAACTAAATAAATACTAAATTATTTACATTATCATTTACTTAACCATACCCAATTTATGAACCACTGCTTTAGTAAAAGGACCTTTTGTTGTTTCCAGTTTCTTTTCTTTTCTTTCTTTTTTTTTTTTTTTTTTTGTAGAGACAGAGTCTCATTTTATTGCCCGGGGTAGAGTGCAGTGGTGTCACACTGCTCACAGCAACCTCCAACTCCTGGGCTTAGGCAATACTCCTGCATCAGCCTCCCGAGTAGCTGGGACTACAGGTGCCCGCCACAACACCCACCTATTTTCTGTTGTTGTTGCAGTTTGGCCGGGGACGCCGGGTTTGAACCCGCCATCCTTGGTATACGGGGCCAACGCCTTACCGACTGAGCCACAGGCTCCGCCCCCCAAGTTTATTTTCTTAATAATACTGTAATTGTTTAACTTTTTCTCCTATGCAAATATATTTTCTTTTGATGAATTACTGGTTCAGGAATTAAGTTATGGTTGAAATGTATTGTCAAATTACTTTCCAAAAGCACTACACCAACCCACACTACCAGTAACCAACAATAACCCTTTATCATAGCTAAACCAGCAAGATGTTTTGTTTCTAATTTCCGAATAAAATAATCTTACTATTTGGTTGAATATGAAGAGACTGATATTTTTCTTTCTGTTCCCCTTTGGATGTTATATTAGAAAAAGGTGATAAATATCGCTAAATCTGTTTCTCCAGTTGTTGAAGTGATCATATTCTCTTCCGAGTGTTCACTTACTGGCAAGTTATTGTACACACTGAATTTGAGCAAAGCAATACTCCCATTCCTGCGACAAATCTTAAATCTGGAGGATTATTCTATGACTAAAGACTAGTTCCACCTTTTGCATACGTGAGACTGTCTACTGCGAGCACTGTCATCAGACCTCTGATTAGATTCAGATGGATCTCCAGCCCCAGAAGGCACAGAATCTTCTATCAAAAGCCTCCCTTTCACAAGGTCCAGTCCCTATTTCCAAACGTGGCACTCCATCCTCTCCACCACAGGTCCCTTGCAGCTCTGTGCCCGGGATGTGCCTGACCCCAGGGCCTGTCTGCGTTCATCCCTCCCAAGCCAGGCCCCCGGTACGCGGTAGCCGGGATTCCAAGGTGGCAGGGTACGGAGCCACCCCAAGACAGAGCTGGTGTGCCCGAGGGAAAGACGCAGCGGGCCGCCGCTCCAGGGACATCCCCTCCTCCCCCGACATTTTAGCCCAGCCCCGCCGAGCCTCCGCTCACCGTGCACCGCAGGAAAGCCTGGTCAGGACACACCAGCTCTGGGGCAGGAGACTGCCCGACTGTAACCGACTCCTACCGGCGCGAGAACAATGACCGGACAGGAAGTGCCTCGGGATGGGCTTCCGGCTCCCCAAGTCTCCAGGCCAGCCTCTCTAGGAATTTCGGAGGTGGTGCTTTCTTCTCGTTGGATATCCAAAATCATCCGGGACAGGAAGGGGGCAGAAGCGCTCGTAAGGTTCTGAGCCTCAGGAAGGGGGCACATCGTGGGCTGCGCAGACACGAAGGCCAGGCGCGCGCTCGGGAGCCTATCCTACAAAGCATTCGTCTGTATAGGAAGCCCTGATAATTTCTCCCCAAACGTTTTATTTCGAAAACATCAAACGGTACAGAAAAGTTGGAAGAATGGCACATCGAATACCTTTTATCCTTCATCTGAATTCAACTACTAACATTTTGCTGTGTTTGCCTTATTTCTTTGTACATACATAAAAACATTTTTTAAAAGTTGTAAACATCAGAACACTTCGTTTCCAAATACTTCAACATGCATCCCTCAAAAATAAGAATATTCTTCAAACTACCACCACCATCATCACAGGTAAGAAAATTAGTAATTCCCTACTACTACTTACTATCTAGTCACATTCAGATTTCCTCTACTGTCCTAAAACATATTTTCATTACTTTTTTTCCAAAAAAGGTTTCACATACTTAATTCAGTTATGGCCTAGTTTTTTGTTTGTTTGAACTTTAATTTTGAAATGACAGATGCACGGGAAGTTGCAAAGATAAAACCTTTCATCCAAGTTTCCTCCAATGGTCACATCTTACATAATTATCAAAACCAAGATAGCAACATTGGCAGTGTGTACACCATGTAATTATCATGTGTAGATTTGTGTAACTACCACTATCAAACTACACAAGTGTCATCACCACAAAGACCTCTCTGGTGCTACCCCTTTATGTTATAGTTACAGCCAAACCTCTTCTTTTTTACCCTCCCATCACCCACTAATACCATTTTTCATCTCTATAGTTTTGTCATTTTGAGAATGTTGTAAAAATGGAATCATACAGTATTATGATATTTTGAGGCCGGCATTTTCACTCAGCACTAATTCCCTTGAAATTTATTCAAGAAGTTGTGGCTATCAATAAGTCATTACATTTTTATTGCAGAGTAAGTTTATGCCAGTATGTTTAAATCGCGTGGTGAAGGCTATTTGGGTTGCCTATAAGTTTTGACTATTGGCTCGGCACCTGTGGCTCAAGCGGCTAAGGTGCCAGCCACATACACCTGAGCTGGCGGGTTCGAATCCAGCCTGGGCCCTCCAAACAATGATGGCTGCAACCAAAAAATAGCCAGGTGTTGTGGCAGGTGCCTGTAGTCCCAGCTACTTGGGAGGCAGAGGCAGGAGACTC